ATGTTATTAAGAAGACAATTGCAGCGAAGAAAATTTTCTTTTCGACGAAGTCATCATCTAGGCTGTACATTCGTGTATTTATATCAAATGGATGGGAAAGTTCCAGAATAATATCCGGTCAAGGGTCAAATTAATAAAAATTAAAATTGGGAATTAGAATGCCATAATAAACAGGGGGATGGATAAAACAAACAAAGTAGCATTATAATAACTAAGAAGACTGACATTGTGCAATTAGGGGTTAGAAATGTAGAAATAACAAAATAGACAGGATGTTTGGATAAAAACTAATGTGATGAATAATTGTTTATGCAATCAGGGATTAAATATGTAGAAATAGTAAAATGACAAAATAAACACTAAGTTCGGGTATGAAAATATGGTAGTGTAAACAGGGATTAAGAAAAACTTGAAATAACATGAATAAACAGGAAGTTTAGATAAGAAAGGCGATGGGATGGTGATTACTAAAAATTACCTGTTTATGATGGCCATGGCAAGGACAGGGGTTGGACGTATTTCTTTTGTATACAAAGCGTGGGTTTGAGCTTTTGTATAGCTAGCGCCTCGGCTATGCCCAGATGTCTTGATTTTACTCCCTTTGATGGGTTTGATCGAATCTTGTAAATGATTTTGAAGGATTTTTCGAGTGGCGCTGAATGTCCTGAATTCACCAGGTGTTCTGTCACCGAACTATTTACCCGTTTTCGTTCTCCTTTTACTAGCCAGGCTGGATAGTGTTCACGAGCGCGTTTTTCAAGTCGGCGCATGGTACGGCCAACGTACTCAGCTCCACAAGAGCAAGTAAACTGGTATATGCACGTTGAGGTGGCCCAATGCGACAGCTTGTCTTTCGCGTTCTGGCTGAACAGTTTCTTGCAGGAAAACGTCAGTCGTAGGCTAGCGGCGAAGTATGTTTTCCTCAGCGATTTTGAGAGGCGTCTGCGAAGGATTTCTGCTTCAATATCACCTTTGAATTCTAGATTAAGCAGAAGCATTTTCTTTGGGACGGATTGGACTTGTTCAGAAGTCTTCTTAGGTTTGAGATTCTTTTCTATGAACCTGGGCGGGAAACCGTTTTCCATCAGGGTTTTTCGAAGATTACGCAGTTCTTCTTCAACCACTTCCTCGCTGCATATCTTCCGAATCCTCGAGGAAAGAGCGTATATCAGGTTCCTCTTTCTGCTCAGGGGCACGAAGCTTTGAAAGTTGATGAATTGTCCATTCCATGTAGGCTTTTTGTATATGGACCTTTTCAGGGAGTTGTCGGCGTTTCTTGTCAGATGGACGTCGAGGAAGTGGAACATTCCGTCGGATTCAGTCTCAAGTGTGAAGTCGATGTTTGGGTGGGCATTATTGAAATTTGAAGTAGGTTTTTTAAATCACAGTTCTCATCACAAATAATGAAAGTATCATCGATGTATCTCTTGTAGAGATGGAGGTCGTTGATAGTTGGTGATAAGGCGTTGTTCTCTAAGCTAGCCATAAAGCAGTCGGCTAGAAGGGGTCCTAAGGGAGAACCCATTGCTACTCCATCTACTTGCCTGTATATTTCTTTGTTGAAACTAAAGTATACGTTGAAGGTGCATCGAAGTAACAGTTCTTTCAGGTAATGGATTGGTATACCGACATTGATGTTATTGGATTCAATGTAGTCACAAAGGAAACATACGGTTTCTGTCAGTGGAACGTTGGTGAAGAGAGACACGACATCCAGGGAGACCATTTTCTTTTCTGCCACATTGACATTCTTAATTGAATCAACAAAGTCGAATGTGTCGCGGAGGTTATGTCTTGACAGCTTCTCTTTCACCGGCCCGAGAATCTCCACCAGCCATTTCGCGATTGTATGATATGGGGAATCTATCATATCTAGTATTGGGCGGAGTGGGACGTCTTGTTTGTGCACCTTGGGTAAGCCGTACATACGTGGCGTTGTAGAACCAGATGGGCGCAGTTGTTCGTATAGCTTTGAACTGATAATGGATTCGTCCTTCATTTTCTTCAATATCTTTGTTAGCTGGAGCTCCGTCTGTTCAGTGGGATCTTTCTGTGGAGACTGTTTCTGAAACTTTTTATCATCGGATAGTATCATCGAGAGTTTGCTTAGGTAGTCTGATTTGTTCATCAGGACGATTCCGGAGCCTTTATCTGGTCGCGTGATGATCAAGTTTTCATTATCCTTCAGTTCTTTCAGCTCCTTTCGATGTTCTTTGGAAAGGACGTTACGGAGGCTGGGTTTTTTGTTGATATAATCGAGACAGCAATTTAAAACGGTTGATTTGAAAAGTTCTGCATTCTCATATGAGATTGGGACGAGATCTTTCGTCTGGTCGATTAAATGTCCAAAATGTCTTAAAACGCTTAAGCCCCCACGTAGCCTTGGCCCTGATGGTGTACCTGCATATGTTCTAAAACAATGTGCAGATGTTTAATGTTCTCCACTAACTAACATCTTAAATTCTTCTTTCTCCAAAAACGTTGTACCTGTTGCATGGAAAGACATTAAAGTAGTCCCTGTCCCCAAACCTGGCAATAGCGAGAACGTAAAGTTCAGACCCATTGCCATCATTTCCTCGTTTCTAAGGCTTATGGAAAAACTAGTACTTCTTAAACTTGAACCCTCCCTTAAAAGCTTTGAAGACCCCAAACAATTTGCCTATAGACAGGGTAGGAGCACTTTAGACACTACAGCCGTCTTACACAACAGTATCGTCTCATCACTAGATAAAGATGCCAAATACGTCCGCTGCACGTTTCTCAACTTCACTTCTGCTTTCAACTCTGTACCTAGATGTCTCTTACTAAATAAGCTCTCGATGACACAAACTGAGTCCTGGGTCACAAACTGGTTGCATTCCTACTTCTCAAACAGAATGCAGTACACTGTATACAAAGGCAAATCCTCCTCCGCTGTGCTCACTGAAGCTGGTGTCCCCCAAGGTGCTGTACTCTCCCCACTTCTCTTTTCTTTCTTTCTTTCTACATGACTTACCATCTTCAAATGACATTAATTTTGTCAAATATGCTGAAGACCTGACTGTATCTTTGCCTGTAAAATGTCAAAGTGACTGCTCTAAACGAAATGACTTTATCAGAAATCAGCCGGTGGTCCAAGGAAAACGGTCTAACCTTAAATCCCTGTAAATGCCAAACAGTCAATTTCAGCTTTAGGCACAAATCTGACCTAAACAAACTGGTTAGCACTCACGAGGTGTGCAACATAAATGGCAGTGAAATAGAAACCAAGTCGGAAATTAAATACCTAGGCGTCATTCTATCTGCTGATATTTCCTTCCTGGTAGTCTCATATCTTGATGATTTCTAGGAAAATATTCCGTCTTACCTTCTACATCAAGAAGTTAAGACATTCTGGTATAACCCAACCCTTACTCCTACGATTCGTTAACTCTTGCATCCTGCCTATAATTCTCTATTGTTCCCCCTTAGTTTTTCCAGGGCTACTGAAGAAAGACTATACCTTATTACGCAGGATGTCAAAGGTTGTCAGTGGGGTAAGCAGTTTGCCACTTAACCAGCTTGTTAATATTCTGGTTGACAGGCACTTGGACTCATGTGAAAAATGGGCTAAATCCATTTTATCTGACTCACACCACCCTCTTCGTTCACAACTCTCCCCTTGTATCTCATCAGGCAAGTAGACCAGAAGTCTATATAGAAAACTATATGCTCACACTAGCAAGTACAAAAACTCAACCATACCCCACTTAGCTCGTGTTCTGTGCTATAAAGAAAGCATTAGGCGTGATACCTATAACTTTTTAAATAGTCAGTAGAATAACTGGATCTCGTCTTTCCAATTCATATCTTTTGTAGGTACAACGTTTTCTTTCTTTTCCTTTTCTCTATCTCTTTTTTCTGTTATGTGTTACTTTGTTTCTTTCTTCCTTACTAACTCTATTAAAACATTCTTCGTTCTCTCACACTCTGTATATCTCGACCTTTTGTTACCACTTACGCCAGTAAATATGCTAGCATCTACTTTTTTAACACCTTCAAACACTTTGATTTGAAACGAGTAACTAGTGTGATGTGTCTAGTCCTTTCATTGGTGCAGACTGAATTCTATCAGTCAAGTTGTAATGACACATCACACTAGTTACTAGTGTCAAATCAAAATATCCACTGCAGTCCTACAGGAGGTCAATCGCGAGCCCGAACAGCTCAGTGGTAACGTCTCTGACTGCAGCACTGGGTGACGCGGGTTCGAATCTCAGAAGGGACATGAGTTCCTTCAAGGTTGCAGATACACCTTGCTGACGAGTGCCAACTGGCATGAAACCTAGGTCCAAGGCTTCCTGCCGATTACCTCCAACCATCTAATACCTTCAAACACTGCTCAATTTTTGGCTTTGCTACCGACATGCCAATATGTTGTTGTCATAATGAATTGAGATTACTTTAATCTATGTAGGATTTTATTTATTAATGATGTACTAACTGGATGCAATACTGTAGTAAAATGCTGAGAATTCCATTCTGAATCACAAGTACTGTTTTGGAATAAGGCAAATTATTATTATTATTTCAGCCAGCTCACTGTTATTGGTAGAATGTAAATACATTTTGAAAATAATGTTATTTTTCTGCATCATAATTACTTTTTGTTCTCTCAGCTTTTAATAACTATTATAGCAGTAGAAAAAGATGAAATGTTACCCTGGATAACCTTAAAATTTGTTTCGATTCAGCTTATATTACATCTTTCTGATAATCTACTAGGCCCTTATATATTTGTGCGATATTACTGGCAAGAATGGAAACCTGAGTGGATCAAAATTTCAGAATCACTGGCTTGAACTAGTACACACTATCCCTGAGTAATATCTTACTTTTTATTAAGGAAAACACTTGCTTGATGAGAATTCAAGTCATATTTTATTTACAGAGGTCGAAACCGAATCCAGTGAGTATTTGGCTAAGAACTAGAACCTTATGATGTATGTAGGTATATTCAATTTGTTCATTTTTTGTTTCAGGAGTATTAGTTGTCAATGTTACTTGGAGAGGTAGAACATATATTGGTACACTGCTCGATGCGACACAACATGATTTCGCGCCTCCATGGTGAGTATATATTTTTTTCCTTCACGTTCCCAGTGGAACATAGGGCCTCAAGCTAGTGGCTTGAAGTTTCTGTAGCAGTGTTTAATTATACAGGATGGGGTAGCTAGCCTCATGCCCAACCTTTCCTCTTAACCAGCATTATTTCTGGCTGAGTGAGGTAAAGGAGTGAGTCGGCCGGGGATCGAACTCTGGACCATGTGCATGGTCGGTGAGCGTCCTAACCGCTATGCCACCGACGGTGAGCATATTACTATTATTGATTCCTTGTGTTTCGAGTGGAACATAGGGTTTCAGAGGCACGTCTTCATTTTTCTTTGTTTTCTGATGTCATGTCATCCTCTGACGACCGTCGATTCCCACTTGGGTTCCACTTAACAACCTGCGTAGGGTTTCCTCCATGTATGTTCAATCCATCCATCTCCACTTCCTTCCGCATATTTCCTGGATAATAGGTTGTTGACTAATCTGTTGCCTATCAGAGTTCCTCATTTCTTATGCTTTCTAGTTGACAGTATGATCTTCAGTATGAAGCAGAGGAGCTGTTTGCTAAAGTCTGCAGCAAGCTGTTAGAAATGTTTTTAGTGAAACACAAGCCAAGTGTGTGAAATGTGTAGGACTTGCTGTTGGTGTTAACAATTCAGAACATGTTCCCTGTCCTTATTGCTATAGATCTTAACACTACTTTCGGAGTAAAGAACCCCAAAGGGAGTAGGTACACCATAATTAGTTTGAATAAATTGATAAGCAATGTTAAATATCTTATTTTAATCCGAATTTTCAGAAATTTTCTCTGAAACTCTCCTTGGATTATCGCTACTGTCTATCAGTTTTGGGTTCGAACTTAAAACTAATGATAACAAACTAATAGGTATTCAAGTGTTGGTTTGTAGGCATTTGATTGGTTAAAGGATTTCATCCTGGGCTGACATTGGTTAGAGAACCATTGGAAAACCTGGGAGTAGTGGACAGCTGCTTCGTCCTAGTTTGGGACTCTTCGGTTCCGAATGATAAAAAATGAAATAAATAAACAGGCATATATGTATTTATTTATCCAGTTACTATTTTTTTCAGGTTGTATGATGTTTTTAAGCATTTGATTCACTACCAAAATTAACTTCCACCTTTCGGTCTAATCGCATTTGAATCCTAAGTATCTGATTACTGTTTATGATATTGCTGGAGTTTTGGATTCACCAGGAATTGTATGAAATTGATTACAGATTTGAAATTGTAGAGCTTCAGGAAGAATTTACCGTAAAAAATTGTTTGTACGAGTTTTCCATGTTTTCGTTTGTGTTTAGTTATCTTTTGAAACATTTTCATTTTTAAGCATAATCAGTTAGACGGACTTTGTGTTCTGGTGAGATAGGAATCTCTAATTTTTTTATTTGTCAGCAGTAATAATTACACTCAGTGAGAGTCTTCGGCTAGCGGTCACATATTTATACGAGTATCAAGGTGGTGTAGTGCCTTCGTTTAAACAGTTAGTCGTCACTTATGTGTAAGGTAGAACTGATTTGTATATGCTACACTTTTTGTTGGTATAGCTTACTGTATTTGTTTTCATTAACTGGCTAGCATGACTATTATTATTTACTGATTTCACTATGAGTTAGGTGACTAAAATAATGTTTATTTTACCTGTTCCTTATTTTCTGTAGTCCACGAGATTATATACCACCTTTCAAGACGTCAATTCGATCCAGTAGTCGTACGAAACGTCGAGCAGCTGTTGGATCAAATTACAAGTCAAATTTAGGAAATTACATGGTCAACTGCAGTTGGAAGTCTGGGTCATCGGTAAGACATCATCGACTACACGGCCGAACTCATAATTCTCCTGCAGTTATGCCTGAGACAAATCCAACTTCGCGATCGAGTACAAATCAGCAATCGACACATGTAGACAAAACTGACAGTATTAAAGTGATAAGGGGAGATACTGTGTCTGATGGTGATAGAGTTCTTATCCAATGTCTACCTCAAGGATCTGATGAAGAATTATTGCGTGATTTTAATCAAAATACAAACATTCATAAAAGTCGCAAAATTTTCTCAGGAAGTAGTACATCTTCAAGTGATTGTCCTTCAGAAGTACTTCCAGATCTTGAGAAGTCTTCTGAAAGAGGGGATGCAACATGTAAGTCAAACAATACCTCTGATAGGATACCTGGAAATTCACAAAAACGTGATCATTCTCGACCACATACACCTTTATGCTCTAATGATAGTAATAGTCTTTGTCCTGAGGACGATTCGATAAATGATGAACTAAATCACACCTTTCCTATAGGCTGTCCAATAGATGGTTGTAAAAAACGCTTCTCTCATGTGCTTGCCCTGCGTTTTCACTTAAATCATACACCTCATGATAATCTACTCAGTGTGAGTAAGAAGCGTGTATCCAGTGATAATTCAAAACAAGATTATGATGATGATGTGCATAAGAATTGTGGTTCACACTGTTATATGAAATCTCCTCCGAATATTTCACCTCAATGTCCCTCTAGTCCATGTTCACTAGTTTCATATTCAATGCATTCATCGCACAAACAGTCATTACAGCCACTTTTACGTCAGCCACCATTACAGTCATCTTCACAGACACATCCACAATCGTGTCAACAAAATCACTATGAACATGACAACAATCTTCATCATCTCCGTCATCATCAACAACAAAATCCTGAGCATGAGCCGGCAACACGTTCTTTACATCTACCGAATATATCTAATCATAATTATAAAGTGTCTGATGATGTTAATGGACAGAAATTTATGGATACAAATGTACCTGATAACTTGATAACAGGTATCAGTAACAATCTAAGCTGTTCTACCAGTGGTCGAAATAATGACATTAATAAACACCCTTCTGGTAAAAAGCGTTTGTCTACTCCAGTGGTATGTAGCAATAAATTAAATGAAATCACTTCTACAGGGAATATTGTTCGTACAGTTACAGCACATACAGTCTCTGTACCGCATGGTTCTTTAGATTGTGGGACTAATTCAAATTTACGATCTAACAGTAGCAGTAATAATAATCAGCCTTCCTTATCTTCTAAAAGAACCTCATCAAATCCTCGTGATCCTAGTAGGCATAAATCATCTCAGCCATTGTCCAATCAGAATATTAAAACAAATAATCCAGTGGTAATGATGATGTCGAATTACCCCCGTAGTTCAGGTCTTCCTGGTAGTCGTATGAAGGAGTTCAACAATACCAAAGAGATCAATGACCATACGAATTCACCAATGTTTCATGTAGCACCAAATACAGCTACTTCTTTGTCTTCAAGGTTGAAAAGTTCAGCTGGTTTCCCAGAAGTAAACTGTGCAACATCTAGTGAAATAAATCAACCTTACCGTGGTTTTGTTGGTGACGGAGGAGGCTTGGTGCCGAACTTTCAGAACCAATGGAATTTCCAAGTATTACCTATTAAAGACAAAGACCAACAATACTCCGTCAATTCATTATCAGATGCCGGTTCTTCTCAGGTTCCTGTAAATCCTAGTGGTGTAACTAATTTCACGTCAACAAATGAAGCAATGAATCATCGTGCATTTCTGCCACCTCAACTGTTCGATTCCAAACATCTCATTCCGCCAAGTCACTTACCTGGAACAAGTTTAAATTATTCTAAAAGTCAAATTACAGATCCTACTAGTATGTATTATGGTATACCAGACTTTTTGGCCACTGCACTAAGTACACGAACATCAAATGCGTCGTCATCACCATATCCTTGTATACCTGAAGCTTTTAGATCATACATGAACACACCACTGACTGGTTTTTCACTTACTACAGGGAATAATAATTCGATGAATAATATTCCAAAACCACACGATCCATCAGCTTCATCAGTTTCTTCAAGTTCTACATGTGAATCATTACTTGATAGAATAAACAGTCAGCGATTTCTCAATCCACAGCTATTTGAAAATGTAGGATCTAATCTCTCTGTGCAAAATTTTCCATCATCTAATTTATCTTTAAATCCTGAAAGATTAGATCCATTGAAACTTTCTGCAGGTTAGTATCAGTCTTTGATTAACATAAACAGACTGATAATTTAGCACCGAACGAAATACTTGTTCACTTTGATAAGACATTTTATATCCATGGTGTCGAAAGTAGTTGAGAACAATATGTTACTACAGAATTCTGTAATTATTGCATGGTAGTAGGCACACTGATATAAGGATATAAAAATTGAGCACTGTGGTAGAGTATAACTCCATTATGGATAAGATCTTATTTTGATAAATCACAGTGTGTTATGCAGTAATATTAACTGATGACCACCTTTCGGGCACAAATTATTGCTCATAATGCTATCAAGGCGCTCACACAATTTTCTTGTTTCATTGATGTACGTGAGTAGGCATATATTTTGTATTATTAATGTTTATATCGATTAACTGACTGATGAATCAAATTAGAACTATTCACGGACGTGCATCAGTTCAAGCTGCAACATTTTACAATGGCGCATAAATAAGTGAACAGAAATATAACGTAATACTGATTTAGATAAACAAGTGGGAATAATTTAAGATTAGTGAAAAGGTCCAGAATTTAGATAATAAGGAGTAATTAATGTTCGTTCATACCAATAAAACTCTAGTCACTGATTTTTATCTCGATAATCCCAGTAAGGCACTCCACACCTCTCTGCATGGTTCAAAATATCTGCTTCTTTGATGAATACTATTTATTGGTGCAGCCGTTTCCCAAAGTACTACTATGTCTCTAGTTGAGGAAGACACTGTTATCTCCAGTAATTTAGAATTTCGCCATGAAGGCTTATCATCATAAAGCTGACACTGTATTATAGCATGCGTTCATTATTTGGTTTTTCAGTTCTAAATAGCTAAGAGTTACTTTTTACACATACCGTAAATGAAGTTCGTTTGAAAATAATTTGAATTTGAAAGATAAATGAATTTCACAAATGGTTACCACCGTCCTATTCTGTTTTTCCCATAGTTATTAGTGTGCGCTGCTAGAGATATATATACCAGGCTAAAACCAACCTTGTTCCTAGTCATTCTCTGAGTGATTTATGACTAATTAATATCGTCTTAGAACTTACTTCTCACTCTACAATATAATGATCAATGTCCTTGGTGAACGAATATACATTCGTTGGTTTACAATAACTTAAGAGACTTGGACTTCAGTGGTTCAGACGGTGGATCTTGTGATCATGAGATCATTGTTTGGAACTCAAGTTCAACTAATTACGTCATCACGTGGCAGTAAATTCATTCCAAGTATAATTTATACTTCATCAATTGTTTATTGAGCCATATTACTTTTTAAGATGTACACTTTAGAGAAAATGTCATCTGGTTAGTAATCAGGTTATACGCTAATTAATCCGTAACTAGTATCTTGTTTAACAGTATTGAATACTATCCCACTGACTGTTTTATAGCCTTCATATAATCATTATATGCATTATATCAATTCGGTTATGAACAGTCGATGAAAATCTTTTAATGCCTTCGCAAAATAGCATATTTGACAGAAAGTGAAGGTAATCGTTTATGTATCTATATTTTCTTAAATACTATTTGGTCAAAAGAAATATCAATAATGATTCATTTCATGTTATTTGTTTTTATTTATGCCAACAGCTTATTTGATGCAATATACAAATCCAGGATCACAGTTATTTTCGTCATCACCATCAACATCTGGCAGTCAGTTACCTTGATTTTTATTCAATATACACAATTAGTTCTACATCTTAGTTATCCATTTTCTGTTCTATTATTTCCTATTTTTAGCTTCTTTTGTGCATCACAGAGTGTCTTTCAGTAATCAAACAATTTATGCTATTTATAAATACATTCAATAGTTAATCAATATATATATATATATATATATATATATATATATATATATATATATTGGTGTAGACCTTATGATTGTAAGCAGAATTTTTCTTCCTATACCCCTCAGCCTTTATAGAATTCTAGTACCTATTTTATGTCAAACATTCATACCTGTGTTTGTACGCTTACTTTAATTATTAACGTGTTACATGCATAGAAATGGTAATGGCATGAACAGCAGACTGAACATTCTAGTAACAAAGCACACCATAATGCTTGTATGAAGTTATCCATGCATTCACGACTAATTCATTTCGGGAAATCATTTTTCAACAACATATATTCCTTTTTTGGTTGACTTTCTTGATAATTTTCTTTCTACTTTTTTAAATTATTCCTTTGTCCTCTTTATTCTTATCGTTAATTACGGGAAAATGTGAAATGTTTTTTTTTACATACCTCGTTAAACTATTATTATTTGTTTATGGTCTTTAACTATACAACTGTTTTACAGTTTTAAATATTTCCTTTATATACCAATGTATACATACACATGCATCATATCATTTCTGGGCTTGTGAAATATACTGTTTCGACATATTTGTACAATATATGTTCACAGTTATTTATTGCTTTATATGTGTTACATTTGCTATATTATTTTGCTTTGACCGCCTGTTCACAAATTCATAAATGTGCAGTTATGTATTCATAGCCCCTATATAATACATGTAAACACTACTACTCCCTTTCACTGTTTTATTGCAATTTAGATTTTTTTACATCATAATGAAAGGGAATGAGACGCATATGAACGTTTTCCTACAGTATGATGAGTACTTCAAACATAAAGATATATGCTCACAAAATCTAACTGATCTGATTTAATAATCGTTAGTGTAAGCGTTTTTATTTTCTTTATTGTTTGCTACCTTATACTGTATAATCGTTGTAATATAATATTAGTTTATAATTTGATTATTTATGCTGACTGATGCGTATATGCAAAGACATATGCATATAAGTTCTCACTCTACATATTTTAGTCTGTGAGTATGAAAACTAAAACACAGTCACAAATGATCTATGCTTGGTGAAAGTACTTATGTATTGCTACATAGGTGTGTGAACAACTTTTGTTTTCTGCACTCTTCTCTTTGATTATCTTTTACTGTACAATTTTGTTTCCTTCTATTAGCTTGTAAATTTCTGACCAACTGCATAAACTCACTTATGTACTTTCTCACCTTATCATTAATTTTTTTTAAAGAAAAACACAAACTTGTTTGAATCGTCTTTTCACAAATATTCATTCATTCAACCATAATTATAATTTTTGAGTTATATGTTGGTTTTCAGCTGAATTTCCTTTCTGTTTCATATGTGCATTAATTGTACATACACACAGACCTGTGTGTAATATATATATATATATATATATATATTGCTGTTATGATAATGATACTGATTCTGGACTTTTAACTTTTCGCTTATTTCATTCTTCTATGAAGTTGTCAAAAGGTGTATACACGAACATCAATAAAATTCTCTAGTCTTTGAGTTCCCCTTCAGTCTGTTTTGAAAATGAAGCTAGCAAGATAATTCATGGGGATTTGATTAATATCGTTTCGAGGTGACACAACATTGAGAATCAAGGAGTATTGAAGAGTTGTTTCGTTGACTGTTCAACAATGCGCATCCACGAACACATAATGGAGTAAAACTAGGACGATTAAATGCTTTATTTTTTTCAACAGTTTTCTGACTGATACCGGTTAATGATGAGATTCACCTTGAATTCAATCATTTCCATGCTAACGCAATTTCGAAATAATCATCCAGTCTAAATTTAATATTAACTTCAAAATGAATTTCCTTGAGTTCCAGTGAGTAGTTGTGACCTGTAGGGTCCCCCAAGTCAGATGCTGGAACAGTCATTCACCGGTAACATTGAATATCGTCAACGCTCCATCATGGACTAACACAAGATTCCCGCTCACCAACTGGAAGGTAACGTCTTCATTTTGTAACATGATGGTCCTGGGTTCGGTCGCTGGTCGTAATTTGGGCGAGCACTTATGGAGAGCGCCAAACTAGAGTGTAACAACTGCTCAGTTCTCCTTGGTCCTCTAAATAGTAGTTAAGGGTAAACATTCAGGCTTCGTTAACAGCATATTATTCTACCTAGTAACTGGACCTCCCAATGCAGCAACATAGCTTTGTTATAGCACAAGTTTTGTTTTTACTTCAGCCACCTAATTAAAATGACTTCAGTCTGTTATGTTAAAGCCATTTTATATAGTCGTAAAAATTGTTTTCAACTAACATATTTTTTTTTACCATACTTCAAATCATCTTGTCATTTTATTCAGTAAGCTGTCTTATAGAACCTCGGTTACTAAAAGAATTCCTATGTAAGAATTAAGTGAGTATTTTTCTGGATTGTAAAGAAGATATTCTAGCGATAAATGTTTCTTCTCACCAACTTCATTTTCAAGTTGTGCAGATGTAAAACGGCTGTTAGTGGCAGTAAACAGTGGTCAGTCAGTACGCTTAAAAATAGTTAACATGATTTCTAGGGTGAATTGCAGGATAACAAAAAGTTAAGGAATTGAGTTGACATTAGGTTTAAAGTGGGTCAACTGCTGTCAAAAGCAAAATGGAATTAAGAATATGATAATACTAAGAATGAAAGAGAAGATAAATGTAAGTAGGTTGAAGTTAACCATAAAATCATTAGGACCAAGATAATGAAGGAGGTATAGCAAAGAATTTTTGTTTGCGTTTTTTCTTTCGTGTATGGCTAGTGCTTCAGATATACATAAGTGATGAAAACGTAGACTTATAGAATGTTGAATTCAGCCCTGTAGGGCACTTCAAAAGATAAATCACACGAGGTAAAACGACCTGACTCAATATGTTCACAAAACAAGATTTCGTTGTCCTGTATTCACTTTTCATCAATGTATCTGATAATGTTCACCTATGCGAATCTGGAAAACTCGTTTATACCGTCGACAACAGCACGTGAAAGAGCAGGCACAAATAGAGGTAGTATATTATTCACGCACTGGTGAATTCTTTTCCGGCGTGAGAATATCTTGACCATCTGAGAATAAGTGTCTAGAGACAGAATGGCTAAGGTTAAAATAGATGCTTTCTTAAGGAAAGATTCGAATCAACTGCTACGAAATACAGACCGTTTAAACGAGAAAGCCACCAGTTCGAATATCTAGGCTATGACTATCAATCTAGATTTTTAAGTATTTCGCTAGAGAAGTCAGAAATTACTGAGAAAAATCGCACTTAGGGGAGATTTGAAGGTCATACGCTTCCAGAACTGTGTATTGCATCCAGCAAATGAAAGCCGTATAGTAACAAGTGAAGTAATCAAGAGAAGCCGTTGGTTGAGATTGTCGATAGACTGAGCAAAATTAAGTTTAATGAGAATGCTCATCCCCACTGCCATTGTATGCGACTTATTCAATAAGCTGGTTGATATTACAAATTATATAAGCTTATTGGATGTGACACGAAGTATTACTGTGATATGAGCTACTGCCAAGATTTATAAGTAGCATATAAATACAGATGTAAATATGTATATCAGCATACCGAACGGCGGAGAGATGGTTTTGATGAACGATGCTTGAGAAACAACATGGAAAACGTGACGGGAAGACAAAGAACAATATCAAAGTTATATGCAAATTGCGATTCTAATATGTAGTAGACGTATTTTGCGTATATGTATCGAGTTACAAATAAATAATTCCGTTACCGAATACTCTTATCTTCTGCCGTTACAATACAGTATTAATAGCTGGATGAATTTTCAAGCACAGTTTTTAGCTCACACACTATATCAGAACTTTATGTAATTGTACTCATTCCCAATTAATTGGTGGATGGTGACCAGCAGTGGAATCCAGGATGCGCATTTCGTCCTATTTTGGGACTCATCATCTGGATGTACCCCTTCCTGTTTAGTTAAGTTCTCTGCATACCAGGGATTAGCGTTGCCTCATCCCAATTACACATCTTGGGTGGTGATTTGATGGAGAAAGATTCAGTGAACAACTTCGCTGTGATCAAAGGCTATCTTTGTACGTTTCAAGTGGAACATAGGGCTTCACACTAGAGCTGTGAAGTTGCACCAGCAGTGGTATTGATTTTCACGGGATGGGATTGTTTGCCTCATGCCCAGTCACCCCTCCTCCTTAGATTCATCACTGCTTAAGTGAGGTGAAGCAGTGAGTCAGGCGAGAACTGAAACCCGAAAAATATACTAAATCACGAATAAATAAGACCAGGGTGATACTAAGTTGCTTGATATGACGAGGTCTATTCGAATCGAGACAATTATATTAATACGTTTGTTAACCCAACTGCCCCTGATTACGAGCATTGCCCGAAGTGGTTAGGAAAGGGGATAGTAAGGTCCATCATCAGTAGTTATAGGCTGGTACGTCTAGTGAATACAGAGCTCAAGACTGAAAAAAACGAAGCTTCCACCGTCTGTTACAAGGTGCCAACTCGATTTTGTAGGTTTATACACCGACTGATAAGGATGATTGAGACAGTTGCCACCAAATTTTTTTCAACCTGATGTGGGTCCATAGAAAAGATTTGCACAGTTGTTTCCCCCTGCCATGGGCTTTACCTTCAGCCTTAATGCAACGAAAATAGTTTCCAATCCCAGTGACATCACTTAAATATCAAACTGTCTTACACCTTTTGATGAAATTAAATACTCTGTTGTCAAATAGGTATGAGACAGTAGTTATTTTCCCGCTGTTCTCCTACAAAGACGAACATTCACAACGATTGGCTGCTTAGATTACATTAACACTTGTATGAATTTATTGCTGTTACAATT